GCCCCTTCTCTATCCCAAGGTGGAATGTGGCTGAAATAGGGGAGGTCTCTGTACGGGGCGTAATCGGTGGTTTCGTTTGCTTTCCTTCTCTTTTACAGACCACCTCCCACCTCTAGCTTCATAACTGAACGCTTTCCACACCTATTTTATCCCGAATCTTGTATTTAAGTCTTCAAAAAGAAGCAAAAGGTGTATCATGGTTTAACTAGGAGTGAATTCAGACACAGCTAAAATCGCGCTCCAATGATTTGTAAGTGACAAGGCTTTTCGCCATTGCATCCTCTCCATGAAGCCACATACATTTGGCCATTTCAGGTCGTCCTTGTGAGCACAGCCCATAGAATGAGATCATTGAACGGATAAGCGAAATCAGGAGGGGCATCTGAATTACCAACATGCTTTGAAGGTGGAGTTAACGACGAAAAAGCAGCTTTAAAAATAAAGGTAGGAATGGTCTGTGGTATGGGGAAGAAACTCATGAGAAATGGCTTAAAACCCGAGAAATGGGCCTCTTCTTCGCCCGTTGGCTTCGCATTGATGCGGCTCTCTTCAATGCTAATGTTCTCTCTGGTCGGCTAGAGTCAGACGGCGGGGTAACCCATCGGTGGAAGTGCAGCGGCGCGAGCTGAGCGGGTGCGGCTCCGGTAGTCCGCTGGGCTCATACTCTTCGCTGTGAAAACTCTCATCGTCCCACACCCTTATAGGGCCTGCCTGTCTCCCGACTGGGCATCTTCCCTTCTCCGACCTCCACCTTATCCTGGGGTCCTCTTATCAACCCATTACAGTATTTATGCTCACCGTCATCGCATTGTAAGGGATTCAACCAATCTGCACTTTTCTTGTCGTTTTGGTGATGTTTTGGCGACCAATCGGATATGAAGACTGCTCAGACGGGAGAGCTGAAAACAAATGTAAGTTAGTTCAACCAGCTCCGCTTTCCTGTGAGAGAAAACCCACTTGGGGAAACGTACCTGTGCTTTTTCCGAAACTTTTCGTAGTTATTCTTGAAAACTCTCGAAGGTGTAGTAGTGTTTATAGGCGTTCCCCATCAGTTTTTCTATAATCATTCCTATGTCCGGTAAAGTGAGGTAGGTAGTTGGTGAGGTATGTTCGACCAGAAATCGTACACTGTGCTCATCATCGTCATCCTGTGAAAGTTCGAATTATTAATCAGAATT